CATGAACAATGCACTTACAGGAATACAGTACCCCGATCGGGCGTCTCTGATCTCGCAGCACGATCAGTGCTAGTGCACAGCTCACAGGAGTCGTTGGAGGCCTCAGTTGCCTTGCTAGCCAGTTTGCGAGGCTGAGTGGAGACAGTATAAAAAGGCCTTTACTCACTCTACTTCCTCTTGAAGAAACCACGGGAGTTTTTGCCTTCGTCATCATCATCATCATCATCATCATCATCATCATCATCATCTTCTTCTTCTTCTTCTTCTTCTTCTTCTTCTTCAATAGTGCATTATACCATTCTGTTACTGCTCCAAGCAGTTCTGTGTTGCTTGCAACTGGCTTGGTCGTACATTCTATTCTTGCCACTATCTCCCCCTTCCATTCCTTAGTTTCGCGAGTCAAAGCTCCAGAATCATAGAATCCCTTCAAGGAAATCCTACAATATTCCAATTCGATCCTGACCCAAAAGACGATTTCACAGAGGATATCACCATCGATCCGCAACTACTTATACTCAGCCCGTCACCCGAGGCTGAAACAGGAGTTTATTACAACTCTCAGATATCCAACGAGCTGCAAAACATAACGCAAGACGACGCTTACTCCCTTTCAGGATCGTCGTTAGATCATTCCTCTTCTCCTTTGGCAGGTTCCATAATTGAGGATTTCTTGCTTAGTACGGCAGATAAAGCGCAGACAGCTTCTCCCGTACAAGAGCACGACCTTTCAACCTCCGGACAAAATCCGGCACACTCATTAGAAGCAAATCACTCTGTGAAGCTTTCCTGCTCGGGTTGTGGGAAAGTGTTTGAACTTCCATGTCACTTGAGGTACACATTCCTTCCTACCCTTTTCCCTCTCTGCCTTTTCCAAGAAGCATTTCGCTAATAGCTACGAGTTTTTGCTTTCCTCTCTCTGGTTGAAGAAAACATGAGAAGTATCATATAAAAAGTTGGCCATGTAAGGTGCGGAATTGCACCCAGCCATTCTCTCGCGAAGGGGACCTCAAGAGACACCTGGGAGAAGTCCACCCGGAATCATTTCCGGAGCTAGCAAAAATCTATCAATGTCCCAAGGCCGACTACCAAACCAGACGATTAGGAAACCTAAAGAGACATATTGAAACAAAACATCCGAATGAGCCGATTCCCAAGAATTGGAGACAGGTTTTTCTGAAACGACAATGGAAGCTGGAAAATTGTTTTGCATAAATTCAGCAGTTCTTAATTTCCTTTGATTTCGAAACCCGATTATACCTACATGCTAGAAGAGCAAAAACTTCACCACACTCTTTTTTTTTTTCTGCCAGAGCAGGGCCCCTTACCCGAGGTATTCAATATTGGAGCAGCATGCAGTGATTCCCGGTATTGAAATAGATCCAAGGGATGAGTATGTGTGGATTGACTGCGAAGCCAGG